CCCAGGCCTGCCCCCTGAGCGTCGGCTTTGGGAAACCTGACAAATGCATGTTTAGTTCTCTCATACTATCCTAGTCTTATTAGCAATAGTTATATTTTAATCCTCCCATGAGGCCTAAATCAGAAATATATATATTTAATGATAAACAAAAGCTTCTTCAGTTGCTACAGAAAATAATTGCAATGTTTCAGTTCATAGACATAGAAAGCGAACCAACTGTATGGTACATGTGCATATTAAACGAGTTTCAGTCTCTAACACATACAGATAAGTCCATCCATAAGATGAACATCCATTATCTGTTGACTTACATAATGCAGAAACTTTTGATAAGGCTTAAGTTCAAACAAGTAAAGAAAATCTGGTAGATCCATGACCACAAGAAAAAACTCCAAGCACGTCATTCGTAACGAGTCACATTTCCTAACATATATAACATAGTAACAGAAACTTTTCCTGGCTCATAATCTCATTTAACTTAAATCAATTCAACCTCTCCTTTCTTTTCTGAACGAACAAAAGACATATGAGAAAGTAGCTCATTTGTTTGGATATCTAAAGAAACGGATGACACTATTGAAGAAAGTGGCTTCTATTAAAGCTGCCTAAATTTGCACATAGTTTACTAAAAAGGGCAGCAACTACCATCTATAATGGATTGTATAAATGAATAAATGTCGACGCTACATGATTTAAAGCTAACAGTCAATTCTGAATAGAGCAGAGAAAACTAAGTCATACCTTCTTTGTGTTAGCATAATGATTCAGGGGTGCGTCACCTTTGATCAAATTGTTTGGTGAGATACCGGTGTCCAATAAAGAGCGGGGATTCTCAGTCAAGTTAGCTGCATAAACAACACCTGAGCCCATGTTGGGTGTTGTTGGAACTACATACTTCTCTAAATCAAGCTCCAAACCAGAAGCGAAGTCATTCTGCTTGAAGGAAAAAGACAAAATTGGCAGAACAGAAAAGGAAGCACCACCTATAGTGCAATAGAAACACAGGCAACAGCTTTGTGGGAAGAATTTATTTTTTTAAGTACACAGTAACAAACACTGCTCCTGCCTTCGGAAAGACCCTTGAACCTACTTCTTTACACTAATATATTTTGCCGAACCTGGGTGTCACACTTCGCATAAAGACAGCTTGGACATGAGTGGGGCAGTCTAAATTAGTTAGGGCAACTAACTTTTAGGTCACATAAGTACCTTGTGCTAAATGCAATTTGGTCTTTTCCTGCAGTCCTACACTGGGACGTTTTTTACCATTTGATTTTCTGCTTGGTTTGATATATTTTAAATGCTTGCAGTTCTCCTAAAGGTAAAATCTGTCACCATTCTGGGGTTTTAAAGGCATTACTCCAATACTTCCACTGGTCACAACTTCTTGTGACCATTGGAAGCATGCCATTGAACTTTTTGACATTTGACCACTAGAGTAAAATGGCAACTCACTGTGAAATACTTCCATAATATTACGAACTTTAAATATCTGTAACGGAAACTAATGGCCAAGCATCTCAAACACCATGATGACCGGAGAGAGTAGGTTACATTCACAAGAACACAAGAGCTGAAACATCAAAGTAATATGTAAGATGTACTGTCAGTCATGGTTCTGAAATCTGCTGGGTACTTGGTCAGTTTCACACCCTCTTGAGTGAACACATCACTTCATTACACCAATTAATAGCAGGGAAATGGGAACGTGTTGAAACAAGTGAGTTTTGCTAGGAACCAGACATGAGGTCCAGGTCCACAAGCAAGTAGCAAGCTGCCTCAAACAGTCAACCTATTACATAGCACCCTCTAAGGTATCGGACTGTTAACAACAAAGCATTGGCTGGAAACTAGATGCTACAAACAGTCAAACACTACTTTCAAAGAAACCAGGTTTTTGCAAAATAAGCATATATACTATCCGTTAAAAGATTATTAGAGGGTTAGGTTTACAATTTCCTAATTACATTCGGCAGCACCATAATACAGAAGTAAGATAAAGCATATAAAAGAATTCAAACCTCGTCCCTGGCTTCAGTCTCAGTGTTCATAACGACATCATAGGTCCCTCGCACCCTTGAAGGCTGAAGATTCTCCTGATGAGCCTTCCAGCTTGCGGCTAGGTCAAATGGGGACAACATCTCTGTCTCAACCCAAACCTTACACTCAAGTGAATCTTTCTCAGTGAGTTTAAAGACTGCATCCGTCATTTCCACTTGATTGCTCCCGCAACCTAGCGGTCGGTTCGGTCCCTCCTCAACAATGCACTCTGAGCTATCGGCTTTTGGCTTCAATAGTAACTTGAAATCCAGTGTTTCTAACAAAACATAACAAATAAAGGGCATAAAACTAGTCAGGATGCTCAAAAAACTGAAGAGAATCTAACTCCATGCGTATGTAGTAAGTAAACAACTCAGTTAACCAGAGCATAGCAAATGATCAGCTGAAGAATCACTTTATTTCATTTCGAAGGCCCAACTTCATGTACTACATTGTTATACTCAGCAATGACAAATCACTAGTTCATGACAAAATATGTACACACATTAAACAGACAGGAGACAGCCCCAATAAACAATTAAAGCCCAACCCAACAACTCAAACAAGAGCATCCCAGCAGCATGACACAGCAAGATAGCTCATCATAGCGCAAACCTCCTCAGAAGGGATCTCAAACCCACATGGAGTTGTCGAACAGCATGATAAAATGAGCCAACTCACCGTGTCGAGAAGGGAGGACGCAGCTGAGCTCCCAAATGGCGGCCGCGGCCCGCTCCATCGGCAGCTGCGAACACCACCAGGAAAAAGAAATTCCATTAATCTCCGCACGGGAAACACACTCGCGAACAAGAGGGGATGGATGCGACGCTTACGGCTTTGGTAGGGTCCCACGAGCCGGCGGCGGGGTGGGAGCCGAAGAGGTGAGGGGCGAGGTCGAGCGCCGCCAGGCGGGAGCTCTCCAACTTGACCGAGACATACTGGTGGTCGGATACGCCGCCGGAGCTCGCCGCCGTCGCCATCGCCGGGGAGGCCAGAAGGGGGACTTGGAAGGTGCCGGAAGGAAGAAAAGCGAGCGCGTCGGTATCGTCTTTTCGTGCGACTGTCAAGTGGGGCCACGAGGGGAGGTGCGATGGTGGTAGATCCCTTCGTAATCCGCAACAGCTGGTGGGGCCGGAAACGTACCTGGCCCACCAGCCAGCCTAGGAATGTCCGATGACAACAGCAATACCGCCGGCCGACGACGGCGGGCGAAGCGTCTCAGCGCGGAGAAAGGGGGCGAGCAGCCTAGAGAGAGGGAGAGAGATACGCGGGAAGCAGGCGGTGCCGCGGGGAGACGCCGTCATATGGACCGGCCCGCCGCCGCCGGTTTTTTCCGCCGCACCAGCAAGGGCTACACGATCCAGGTATTTTTGGGGGGTGGCTGATTCCTTTTTTTTCGCGGGTAAGGTGGCTGATTTCCTTCCTTTCCCGTCTGTGTGATGCTCTTGTAGATATTGCAGCACGTCTGTGTGATGCTCTTGTAGATATTGCAGCAGCCTGCCAGCTCCATGCATTCGTGCTTGGTTTGCTCGCGCATCTCTGTTTGGGTAGTTGAGTAATCTCGCAAATTCTTTCCACCATTGGTGGATTGTGCAAATTCTTTTGAGGGTTATATATAGGTGGTATTCTTATTGCTTACGGACAATATTAGCTGCTAAAGAAGTAAATGACGTTGTTGATTCGAAACAATGCAGCAGTTAATAGCAGAATCTGAAATGGTAGGCGCCGTAGAGCGAAGTTGATTGGTGCCCGTGTTTTTTTCCCTTGACAGCAACCTTGTAGATTTTCTCTGGTTTGTGGATCTTTGGCGCCGGGAACACTTGCACATTTTGCCAAACCGCATGATCCTGCTGCCTTCGATCCAAAACACGATTTGAGACGATAGTACTTCTTAAGATTTTCTGTAGCTTATTGTTAGACCATCCTCATCACATTTATGCTTAATCGGAAGCCTAAGGAGAGATATGGTTTGGCAATTGTTACTTAATGGGAAGCATTTACAGCCAATTTGCTCTTCAGCAAACCTCAGACAAATTCTAACAAGAAAAAACCTTATTCAATGTGCACTAACAGTTGTGAATCTTACTCTTTAGGAATGAAGGGCACATACTGTCGTCCTATCTGTATAGTAGGATTATACTGTCGTCCTATCTGTATAATAGGATTATACTGCCGTCCTCTGTATAATAGGGCTATCCACCATTGGTGGATTGTGGGAAATGTCGGGCTTATGGTGCTTAGGTGGTATTTTTATTGCTACAGACAACTAGAGCTCCTGAGAAGTAGAGGCTGTTGTTGATTCAGCGTGCACTTGAACACCCTCAACAGCGGAATCTGAAAAGGTAGGCGCCCTAGGTAAAAGTGGATTTGTCTGCTTTTTTTATGGGAAAACTGGATGTATCTGATACTCTTGTCAGTTGTCGCATAAATGCTGTGCAGGTCTGAATACTTGGAGCAGACATCTAGTTTTTGAGCATTTACAGCCAATTTGCTCTTTAGCAAACCTCAGACAAATTCTAACAAGAAAAAATCGTATTCAGTGTGCCCTAACAATTGTGAACCTCACTCCTTAGGAATGAAGGGCACATACTGTCGTCCTGTCTGTATCCGTAAATTATGCCATTTCCAGATTCTTACTTGATACTTCATGGTACGACCACCTAACAATCAAAGGGTTGGCTCTTGTTTTCTTTTATTAACCAGCCTCGAATGAAATTTTAGAATGTTCCCAAAAGGTGTACTTAAATTAAGAGTGGTGAGTGGATGCACTTAGAATTCTCAGGCTTCAAATTGCATCCAAGAGGTCCGCATCTTAGATGCAAAATAATTAAGTTAAGAAAATTGTTCACGGAATTATCCTGGAGACTAGTGGAGTCGACCTGGAGCCAACCTCGGCAAAACTTAATTATGTCCATTGCATCCCAATGATGCTTATTTGAACCCATATATGATCCATCAGATCACTCTGACTTGCTTGCGTACGTCTTGAGTTCTTGGAACGCTTTCCGGCAACCTTCATCAAAGCCACCCGCAAGCTGCAAATTTGGTTTGTTGAAGTTACCTTGGTTAGTTAGTTTGTAGGTAGCAACTCATAATGCCATCCGAAAGTAATTCATGATTGTGGTAGAATTACCTGATGTATTCGGAAGGCAAAGCGGACACCTTGCAGGAGCAGTTCCTCATCATTTACAAATGGGTCGGACTTCAGTGCATTCATAATGCGGTTCATGTATTCTTTTGCAAGCTTCAATGAAGCGGCCTTTAGCTGTTAACATAGCAAGAGGATACTTCATATATGATATGTCTATTAGACACGAATTTATAGCTAAAAGGGTAGTGGGATAATTCCAATGTGTACCACATAACTCATAAGTTGGTTTGGAGTTGAAGACGAGTTTGTAAAATGCACTTAACTCTGTCTTCTCTATTATATCAAACTGATAAAAAAGATGGATAGTTTGGGAGTAGATGGTACATACTTGGCTTATGATTCCAGAATCAAGCATCCAATCCCATGGGATCATGAGATCCTTGTATCTTCCACTTGCACTGTCCCTTATTTTTTCAGTATTGTGAATACCTTGTTCAATTCTACAAGGGGAAGTATGAATCATGTCATATTGTTGAAAGTTTGACAATGTAACAGCCTTACTAAATGCATGCAGTTCGTCTACTCACTTATCCTGTAGGGCTTGCATGCGCTTCAAAGCCATAGGTGTAGCCACTCTCCTGTCGTCGTGAAATGATGATGCTTCTGCTTCCAGGTTCTTCAGATCCCGGTAGGTGAATGCTGCTTCTCTCATGGCATCTGCTTTCTTCTCAGGCCAGTTAGGGAAGTGCTTGAGCACTGCCCGTTCGTCTATCAGGTATGATAGTTCCCCATCTAGCCACTTAACAAACTCTTCAACATCGGCTATTTCCTTGTATGCTGCATTCTGAACTTCCCTTGCCAGGAAGCTAATGAATTCACCCTGATTTTCTACATCTGATTTAATCTGTTGGAACACAATCATAAGGGAATGTTTTTGGATTGGTGAGGAAATTAATGATCTATACAGAATAATAGGGAGAAAACATGACTCAGATGTACATTAAAAGATTATTCGTACTAAAAGAATAAAGAGTTATATAACATTATCAACTGCAGGAGGGAAACAGAAAAATCAGAAGAACATGTCGCATGCTCTTAAACTAACGCATGGCATTGCTTTTTGATGCATAAGGAAAAGATATCATATATTGTGGTGTATTCGTAAGGTTTTAAAGATGAGTGAAAATTTTACACAATAAAAAATTACTATTTATGAAATGGGAGAGATGTTTAAAGAATAGTCTATCTGTTGAGATATTGTCTTTAATACAGCAACGAACTGGTAACTGTCATGCGGGAGGAAATATTGTGCAATTGTCATACTACTCATACTCTTGTTGCTTATGTTGGTTCAAAAAGAAAAGAAAAATTAAACTAAGAAAGGAATTGGCAGCTAAGTAAACAGTATATCATATGCACATCTAAAAATAGATAGAAAATCATATGTACTTACAGCTATAACATAAGCTGATCTGTTCTCTATCTCCCCGATCATGTCTCGGCTGTTAGTAGCTACTGGAATTCCCACAGATCCAGACTTCGCATCGCTTTTGCCTTCTCTTCTTACTAACAACCGGTACAACTCAACTACCTCTGGCACCCTTTGGACTCCCTTGGTGCTCTTCAGTAATCTGGAAGGTAGGGGAGGTGGCGGTGGAGGAGGAGGACCCATGGATCCTTCCTTTTTTGCCTTGATGATCGGTTGGATGCACGTCGGACTTGGTGGTGGATTTGGAACCCTTGGTGCTCTTGATTTCACAGACGGTGTCCTAGAAAATTGCTGCCTGCTGTAACATGCCGAGCTGTTTAGATCCATAGCTTCCTTCACATCATCATTGTTGTGAACAAACTGTTTTTCCTTGAAGTAGTTGTTGCTGGTGGCAGAATTCTCCGGCTTCTTCCACATTATCTTTCTCTCAGTATCCTGCCCTTCAAGTGAGGAGACTTGGCCTTTTAGACGGCTGACTTGATGCCTCAGTTGCTTGTTCTCCTCTTCCAGAGTGTGGTTCCTCTCGATCAGGCCATGGAGCTTGCTTCTCAGAAGTGCAACACATGCATCACCCTCCCTCATCATCTCTTCTTCGCCAGAGGAGATGATCTCTCTGTATGGTGGTACTGATTACTCTCGTATAATCTATATATGTCTCCTACTTCATCACTCATATAATTCTGTGGAGCACTAAAGGAGATGTAAGTGAGCTTCTGTACAATTCTGTTGAGTCTAGCCAAGAGGAACTTACATATGTGCAGGGAAGAACTGGTGGAACATAAAGTTTGGTAGGAGGTGCTGCTGCTAGGCTAATTACTTGTCCTTCAAGTGATTGCTATGGGGTACCTATCTTCTTTGTGTAACTTCACTAAAGAAATTCAGTCGTACAAGCTTACGTGTTTCTCTTTTCCTTTTGTGTACGACTATTTTCCAATTCTATCATACATAATTTACCGCCGTCTATGTTCAGTTCACTTGGCTGGTATATTTTTTAGATTTACCTTGAGCTGTCGGTGTGCTATTTTACACCAACCAAGAGGTAAAGGTTTTTGATCACTCTTCTTTCTCTAAAAAATATGTCATTTTCCTTCATGCTTGTTTTCTTCTGATTGGGCTTTTTTCCTTTTTGTGAAGTTGTGACAGCAAAGCCTGAATACAAGCTTTCTTCTGCCTGAAGTTGTGTAAAAGGAACTCAGATGGAACTCCTTTACCAGCCCTGGACACCTTTGGCTAATAAGACCAAGTGAATATTTTGAAAAGTAGAGGGACAAGAAGAAACAAAATAAAGCTGAGCAAAAGAAGGGGGGAAGCAGATCTGAATGTGTTTATCTTTCAAAACACACAGGTATTGTTACACTCCTTGGAACTGTAGCTCCTGCTGTAACAATCCTATTCCTCACCCATGTGTTTTGATTGCTGAAGATTTCTGGTGAAGCCTTTCCTACCTGTATCTGAACAGCATTGGGCATCTGTTTATGCCACCAAATATAGGCGGTAGCAGAACCCCGAAAACGACATATCAGTAGGTTTAGAAAAAGGAGTCCCTACAAAGGAAGATTCTGGCAATGTTATAAAGAAAATGTAGAAATAAACTGTTACAGGATGACAGCAGATTAAGCTGGCATCAAAGGTTACTCTGTGTACTCTTGAGATACAGGTACCATTGTAAAGTCCCTGATCCGTAGGGAATTGCAGCCATGTTTAAAGAGTTCATTGATTTCGCTGCGTCAGTTTCCATGCTCGGATTGGGTGTGATTTGTGTAGAATGCGATCTCAGTACCTGGTTGGTGGATGTACTACATACATATATGCAGTGCGGTGCACCAACTGTGAAAGATGCTTTGCATGGACCCCTTGTGACTGCGTGTACCATTACGCCTAACGATGTACCAACAATTGCACTCATAAATGGAAGGAGTGTCTGGGACTGAGTAGTGATCATTTTCAATTATTCATACTGTATAAGCTACAGAAGCTGGACGACAAACTTGGCAAATATGGAGATCATATATGCCAGATTATCTCCCCAGGTAAGCATTGCTTTCATGAGTTTTTCAGCTGTGCTAATGTGCAATGCCAACCAAAAATGCATTCATGCTTAATGATTCACATACCCTCTATTAAGTTCATCTGAAATCAACAAATGTTCTTTTCCTAAGCATAATCAGCACAGTTGATAATCACGTTTGCTTTCCTTTATCAAATGTTTTTCCTATATACTACTTCCTCTGTCCCATAATATAAGAGCGTTTTTGACTTATACTCGCCGGTTGCCAGGGTGAAAGTGAGTCCCACTCCATCCGTTTGGCGTTGCCTGTTGGATTGTAGTAGTACGAGTACTTGGGTCTTGGTATAGCGGGCCGTGTAGAAAGAAAGAAAGAAATCTTGGCAGTGCAGCCATCGGCGTCAGGCTTTTTCTGGTGAAGTTTGGGCGGTGCTTGCCTGACCCGACGTTTGTACTGGACTGCTGCCCTACTGGACAGTGGATCGTTGTCAGAGTACAGAAAATAGACCAGATTTCTTCACGGAAACTGACGGCCTTGAATCTGGATAGTGTCGGCACACCTGCTTGTCCCGGTGAGTCATCCCATCACACGATTTCAGATCACGGGAGTTTTTTTTTACAGCTGATACATCGTAGTTAGAGCAACTCCAACGGGCCGACTCAAATGGACGGTGTTTTTGTCCGCTTTTTGTCCGTTTGGGTCGGCCGCCCGCCCGTCGTCCGCCTTTTTTTAGTTTTGGGTCGGCAGTGCGTCCAACGGGCCGACCCATTTCATGACCGCGCACGTTTAACATCATGCCGTCGCCCTGGTTTTGGCGCTCCAGCGCGCGGGAAAGGTTCGCGCGCACGGGGAAAGCGGCCTAGCGCGCACTGGTTTTGGCGCTCCAGCGCGCGGGAAAGGTTCGCGGGCGCCGCGGCCGACGCTCGCTATAAAGAAGGCGCTCCCTCCACACTCTGTCGGCCGCCCACTCTCGCCGCCTCTGCGCCACCATGTCGATCCACCGCCTGGGCGCTTCGGATTTTCGTGGAGTCCGCGAGCGCCGGTCCGGCGCCTTCTCCGCCGAGATCTGGTTTTGCGAGTAACGTCTCGTCCTCGGCACCTTCGACACCGCAGAGGAGGCGGCCCGCGCGCATGACGTGACGGCGTGGCGTCTCCTGAGGCCTCGTCGGGATATGAATTTTTCCAACGTGTCGAGCCAACGGGCGCAGGATATGGCGCCTCTCCCGCGGCTTTTCACCGACGAGGATCGTCGTGTCCACCGGAGGCGGCAGCGTCGCCTCACCATCATAGAGAAGGACGTGGAAGCCTTGGTGGTGTGGCGCGGAGGCTTCCCGCAGGACATCATCGACGAGCGCCAGTTCTACAAGCAATTGAGATCAGAGAGGGACGTGAGGAGGAGGGAGCGAGCCGCCTATCGGGAGGACAAGCGTTCGCGGAAGTAGGCAGCTCAATTGAAACTGAAGCTACGAGAAACGGCGGGTTGGGACTTTGAAGACGAGGCGTATGCTGACGCCTACATTCAGACATCGGAGGAGGACATTACTGAGTCTGAGTCAGAAATCGACAAGTAGTGGTCTTTTCTTTTCATCTGTGTACGCTAGAATTATCTATGTATCCATTTTTATTTGAAAAAATGGCCGCCGGCATCGGCGACGTAGCAGGCGGGCGAAGGTGTGAATCCAATGTGCCACCGACCAGCGGGCCCGGTAAGGAAAGAGGGCGAGCGCGCGCGTCCGTCTTGTGTCCACGCCGACGCAAATCAGGCTCAAAAATGGGCCGGGAATGGGTCGGCAGGCGAACGAAAGCGGACGCATGCCCGTTTGGGTCGGCGCGTTGGGCCGGATTTTTTGTCCGTGCCGACCCAAACGAACGGCCACAGACGAAATGGGTCGTCCCGTTGGAGTTGCTCTTATACTTTCCATCACTCGACTGGAAGTTCAAGAAAATGGTTTAGGTATCACGTGGTACATGGGTAAGCATCCCAAACTTGATTAAGAAAATGGTTTAGAGCATCTATAGCCAGACTTCTCAAACGTCCCCTATATGTCGTCTGGGCGGACGGCCCGGTCAGTGACCGATCACAAAATCATGACCCAATCGGCCTCCTCAAACTGGTCCTATACGTTTAGGTTGACCGGCACCCTCCATATCCAACTCATATCTAGGGCGGATATGAGTAGGCTCGGACTTGCCCGGGCACGTCCATAGTGCCGGATCCAACAGACAAGACCCAACACAAATTCCACCAAATGAGCCTGATCTTGCCGAACCAGTCATTTTCTTCTCCTCTCTTCTCCCTCGTCCATCTGGCCCTCCCCTAGCTCCGCGCCACCCTAGCTCCGGTGTCGTTCCGGCCCCTTAACGCCATCGCCACCACCACAAAACTCATCCGCGGCCGTCTCGCCGCCTCGGATGTCGCCACGGTATGCCCGGCTGTTCTCAAACTGCACCCTGCACTCTATGTGTTCGACAAATTATTTGAGCAGTTTTTTGTAGGCAAAAACGATGGATTCGGATGGTTTGTCGGATGAGGAGTATGGAAACATAGAGCTTGATAAATTAGTGCAAAAGGAGTTCTTCAATTCCTCGTAGTTGGACAAAGATGCCGAGATGATGACGATCATGAGTGTCCAGAAGGAAATGGACAGGAGGTGGAGCACATTCCGAACTTCAAGGGTTTGGTCAAAGGGGGAGAGTTTTGAACATGGATAGGGTCACTGCAGCATGGCTGCTCTGCAAGGACTACTCCTATTCGGGCCAACACTCCCTGATAGATGGTTTCGTCGACGCTTCGACATGTGCAAACCCTTCTTCTTGCGCGTAGTGGAGGGAGTGGAGGCACATGATCCGTACTTCAGGCTCACCAAGTATTGTTGCGGACAACTCTCTTTCTTTGCTAAGCAGAAATGCACGATTGCTATGAGGATGCTTGCACTGTCACCATGTCATTGGTGAGATGGTCCGGATGGTGGGAACACATGCCTAAAGACAACTGTGAGATTTGTCCGTGCCATGGTGTACGTGTTTGGAGCAAAGTATTTGAGAGAACCAGATGTGCAAGATACAGAAAGGTTGATGGCTATTGGAGAGGCAAGAGGTTTTTCAAGTATGCTCGGTTCTGCTAATTGCATGCGCTGACAATGGAAGAACTGCCCCAAAGATTTGCGCGGGGTATACCAAGGTCACATCAAAGAGGTCACCATCATACTCGAAGCAATGGCTGATGACCCACAAGTATAGGGGATCAATCGTAGTCCTTTTGATAAGTAAGAATGTCGAACCCAACGAGGAGCAGAAGGGAATGACAAGTGGTTTTCAGCAAAGGTATTTTCTGCAGGCATTGAAATTGTTGGTAACAGGTAGTTTGATAGCAAGATAATTTGTAACGAGCAAATAACGGTAATGGAAAATAAAGTGCAGTAAGGTAGCCCAATCCTTTTGTGGCAAGGGACAGGCCAAAACGGTCTCTTATGATAAGCATAGCGTTCTTGAGGGTTCACGGGAATTTCATCTAGCCACTTTCATCATGTTGGTTTGATTCATGTTCGCTACTTTGATCATTTGATATGTGGGTGGACC